TTAAATCACACATCAGATCTCGATAAATGAAATAGTTCAAAGTTCAAACCTTTACTGTACAAAATGACGTAACAGTGGTCAACGAAAATCAAAATAACCAACCGATTGAGGGCTATATTCAAAATCATGCCAAAAATCAAAGTAAAAACAAATCGCTGACTCAATAGTGTGTTCGGCTCTCAACAACGTCTGAACATGCTCCTGATGAGATGGTGGATTGTGTCCTGGGACATCTCCTTCCTGACCTGGATCAGGGCATCAGTGAGCTCCTGGACAGTCTTTGGCGCTACTTGGCAGTGTTGGATTCAGCGATATATAACATCCCAGAGGTTCTCAATTGGGTTTCAGGTCTGGGGAATGTGAGGGCCAGTCAACGACAGCAATGCCTTTTGTCATCTACAGCCTACACACTCTGGCCATATTGGGCCAGGCAATGTCCTGCACCAGGAGAAACCCAGGACCCACTAAGGTCTGACACTGGCTCTGAGAATTTAATTCTGGTACCTAGAAGTCATGGTACCGTTGGACAGCAGGTAGAGATCTGTGCGACCCTCCAAGGAAATGCCTCCCCAGAGATACATCACTGACCCACTGCCAAACCGGTCATGCTCGATGATGTTGCAGGCAGCATACTGTTCACCACGGCGTCTCCAGACTATTTCATGTCTGTCAAGTGGGCTCAGTGTGAACCTGCTCTCATTTGTGACCAGGTGACACTGATTCACAATCGCTTATGCTTCCTAACTGGACAGATTGATATCCCTGAAGTTCAGCTGACAAGATGTTATACTGTGCTGAAGTATTCCCTTATTTTTGAGCAGTTTAGTTGAACATAGTAGGAAATCACATATATACATACTGTCAGTTTAAACACTGTCTGTCAGGCATTAATCTAGGTATTTGGGCGTGGATCTACTTGCTGTTGCTACTTTTACCATGTCAATATTTTAGGTTTACCTACCTATATATATTGCAATATACTGTATGTCTTCTCTAGACTTACCTTACATCTGAACAAAGGGTAGCAAAAAACAAATCAATCAACTCTCTACGCTCAATATCATCAGAGGATGTCTCAGATTTTTTTGCCAAACTTGAACCATTTCCAGAATCGCCCTGATTTTGTCAGTTAAAAACAACAAATTAAAAGCATGCTCACAACTTGAGTATTCTGCCTATTACACTTAGAAACAGATCCAAAAGGGAATCAGACCCAAACCCCACTGTTTGCCACATGTTGTCATGATTTTCCCACTTGCAAAAGCAATGAGCTGCTGGATTGCATTTGCAGTGTTGGCTTTCGAAAGACAAAGTTTGTTTTTGTCGTGTGATTTTAGTTTTTTTTTCTGTCCAGTTTCATATAGGCCTTTTTGTTATTTCCAAAACTAACGTAATTATAACAGCAATAACATTGGCTGTTGAATCTGGGACACCAACTGAGGTGAAGCCCAGGTGTGGGAATCTGATCTGCAGGAAAGGTCACTGCGGAGGACCTGGGGCACTGGTTGCATGAAGGCAGGGTGCCGCTTTCATGAGTTGACATGATGTAATGTAGATCCAGTCTGTGTCTCATATGTTCAAAGCTGACAGCCAGGCAACTGTTTTTAAACACATCTGATATCCAGCGACCGGATGTGACCAATGAGAAGTGGAAAAAGCACAAACTATAAAATCGAAGACTTTTTTCTTGCTTGTTTCTATTACATTCTTGGTCCATTCAAGTTATGAAATTGCTGTTGTTCAGTGCCAGTGAAGGCATTTTATTGTGAATGCGTATGTCTGGCATGAGCAAAAACTCGACAGCGATTGCAAGGCCTCAGCTCACACTCACTCGGCCATCTACCTTATAAAGTGCCAAGCCATTCATTTCTGAACCAGATCCTTGGAGGAAATTCAGATTTTGTTCGTGCTGTTTTTTTTATTACAGTGTTTAGATTGTTGTTTGATTCCCACCTATAGCCTACCTATCGGCCTGCTTCTTCCAGCCTGGCTGCTCCAACCACTTCCTGTATGTACTTAAATCCACCACTGCAACCAGCACTGGCTTCAGCTCATACAGTCAATACCACAGCATAAACACTATGACTGTGATTGAAGGGTAGAGATAGAACCAGAGGGGAGGGAAGGAGAGAGAAATATGAACAGAAGAGGGGAAAGACATAGCAATAAAGAGAGAGAGAATGATGAATGCTGACTGTAACATTGTGTAACTCACGGCAGATGACAGATTATTCATTGTGCTATTAGTTTTCAGCAGCGGCTTACGGTTGCCAATCTACACAGAAGAAGCATACCAGCAAAGGCAGTTGGGTTTAGAGTTTTTAATAATGTACTTCTGAGGATTGTAGACCTCATAGTTGAGTTTTACATAGGTTGTCAACCTTTAACCACTGCACAGTTGAAGCAGGAAACAAAATTTAAAGGTCAGTCAGTTCCTTGGAAATAAGAGTTAAGTTGCATGATTGTGGCTGATAAAATCCCAAAGACCTTAAGAAGGAAAAGCAGATTAGAGTTTGATGAAGCCTGTATAAACGTTTTAGTAAAATTGGAGGGAAAACTTGATTTTCCAAAGTGCTAGAACACCTCTAATACAGATAGCTGATTTGCATCTGTAGCTAGATAGCTTGATAGATAGATCTCTTTCCTTCTGTTCTGTCTTTCATTATTTTTCTCCCACTCTTGTCTTTATTCCCTCCTCTGTATTTGCTCCCTTTGCTGTCTCTTCTCATCTTTTGGAGGAAGACAGATTGTTGAAGGGAGTGTAAGCGAGTAAAGTAGCAGCTCCCCTACTACAAACCCCTGAGCCTCCCCTTCATCACTAAAACACTCCACCCAAAAATCTGAATCCCTTGAGGGCAAACTGCTTGCAGGCCCTCTACCGTCACAGCTTGTACAGATAAAAGGCTTCAACCACGAGCCCAGCCTGAACCATCCAGCACTGCAGCTGCCCGCCTCCCAGCCTGCTGTCCAGGGACAAACACAGCACGGACAGGGAGGCAGAGGGAAGAAAAGAAGACACGGGGAGAAAGGCAAACTTGTACTTCACCACTCAAGCTTCTTGCTGTCAAGAATGTGGTTGAATAAAACATCAGGCTTTGCAAAACTAAGTCCCAGTCCTACCTCTCGCCGGTAGCAAGCTCTTTTATGGAAGTATGTTGACGACAAAAGATTTGAGAGAGCACAAAACAAATCTGAGCGCTACTCAGTCTGCAAGTCAACCTCTTGAGAACGAAAAGGCAATGATTTGTAAGAGCAGAATTAGATTTATGTGTAAGGGAGGACAGAATCGTGAGCCTAACAGATGATGTGAGCATGCTAGAGGAATTGTGTAACTACATTTGAGCCAGCAATAAGGATTCTCACGCTCGTAATGATCAAAGCTACCCGTTCTCACTTTTGGCAGTCTGCATCCGTTTAGCTCCAACTGAGAAGGGTCAAGCTGTTTCTTCAACTTTCAAACTAAAACCTGGGACAGTAGTGTTTTTAACCACCAGATGGAGACAAAGAGGAGTCTTTTGTGTATTACCTTACACTCAAAACGCGTTAACTAGATGATTAAAATCTCATTCAAATTGTTGGCAGATTTGACCTGGCTAGGGTGTACCCCGCCTTACACCTGACGTCAGCTGGGATTGGCTCTACCCCCCCCCGCGACCGTGTAAACAGGATAAGCGGTTGACGATGGATGGATGGATGGTATAGTTTTTACACCATTATGGCAGAGTAATCTTGAGAGTCAAATTAATTTAAATGCAGTTTCTAGCTGTCATAGTTGTTGTGTTTACTTTTAGTGTGACTTTCTGAACCAGATGTAGCATTTTCTTATTTCTTGTTTTTTATGAATAATTTTACGGGATAAAATAATTAAACCATTATCAACAAAAACCTTTATGAACGTGTCTCATTGTCACTTCTTAGCTGAATGTTGTCCTCGGAAATCTAATGAGCCTGATATGAGGGTTGGGTTTACTATGATTTGAACTCCACGGGAAATTTAACCAGTGGTTCGAAGAAAGAAAAGAAAAAAACAATTATTCAAAATAATTCAAAATGTCAGCATTTTCGGAATATGCATGGTTCAAATCTGACACAGCAGTATGAATAAACTAATGAAGGAATCATTTAGATCGCCCGAATTTGGCTAAATTTCAAACAGCGCAGATCCACATGCCCACATTAACTAAAATTATATGCTAAATGATAAGGCATAAAACAAAACACATGTTGTCCAAAAATATCATATGGTCGCTTTCTTACAAAGAAGCAATATATTCAAAAGCTTGAATTCCTTGACTTTTAACTTTAAAAAAGACGTGACCCTGGTGTCCACATATGGGTGTGTACAGTTGCAGCTTGCTAATCAAAAACCCCATGTAATCTCAAGTGTTCAGAAGCTGCTAAATCAACCGGAAAAAATTAAGAAAATAGTCTCAGAAACGAGCAGATGATCGGGATGAAACACTTATGTCAGATTTGCTCTCACAAAACTGTGTGTGCGCTCTCAAATGTTTACTGTGTAGCAGAATTAGTTTTGCACTCTCTTAAATCTTTTGTCATCAACATACTTCCGTACTCCATACTTCGTGGAAAAGTCACCCATCTTGGAAAAACAGGAAAACTGGAGCAGACATTGCTTTTTTGTCTGCAGAACTGATCCATGTCAAAACCTGAAAACAAATTATTACAGAAGATTGTGAAACTGTGTTAAATAATCTGATCAAGTTCTTTGTTACGTGAAGATTTGGCCTCTGGCAAAGTTAAATAACTTTGGGTTCACAGAGTTTGGTCGTGTCTTTGAAGCAACAATGTAAAAATGTAATCTTAAACAGATTTAGAATATGTTTTGTCTCAGACATTTGATATTTGATTGCACTGTCCAAGATCTTTATTACTCCTGTTAGATGACAACAAGTTATCTCTGTTTCATTTCCACCATCCAAGAAATTAAATATGTACAGAGTATTTATATTGAAAGGAATGTGTTTCAGAGGCCTTTGTGGTCTCTAAGGTCACCAAACCCACCCAGCAAATGAGGGTGATGCAGGTTCTGTTTTAGGGTGGATTTCCCCCCTAAACGCACTAGCGTGCAGCCAAAACAAACTCTCGCTGATGGTTTGCCTCTTGCCTCCGGTCTCTCTGGCCTGCTTCTAGACAGCAGCCCAGGGACCTTCGCCGCTCAGAGGGTGGAGCAGAGGAGTCCTCCGGCCCTCCCACAGGCTATAAGACCAGAGGCAGACGGAAACATTCAGACAGCAGGCACACGTGGAGCAAAGAGGCAGAGAAAGAGGGACATAAAGAGAAGCTGAGAGAGAGACCGCTAGAGAGGAAGAGTGAGTTAAACTGCTGTCACAGACTGGGAGTAGTTTTTGCTATTGGGATTGAAACAGACAAATATAGAAACAAAGGACCAAGAAAGAGATTTAGAGTAGAAAAAGGGAGGAGGATAAATCAACAGCAATTTGACTTCAACATGTCATTTTAAATTTGGCTTTCATCCAAAGGATTAACTGCAAGAAGAACTGACCTTTGGGATGTGAAGTGTTTTTGTAAAAACCAAGAGAGAACAACTTTAGGGGCCTGGAACCTGCATCCACCTGTGACACAGCAGCTCTGACGTCAAGTTGCTCTTGACCACTAAGGATCAACTTAGCATCATAAGGGCTACATCTGACTGACCTGCTTTAACAAACTTCAAGAGAAGTTGGGCATGAAGTAACAGTTCAAGGGGCGGACGCCTTTAATCAGCAGCATCACCAGAAAATTTGCAACTTGCTATAACAAGCTTGCAAAGGTTACAAGTTGAACCACAGCAAGTGGAAATCTCACGAGGATTGACCAGTAGCTGTCAGAGCGTTGTTGCTCAGAAGATGACATTCGCCATGCTGCGCACGGGGCCTCCCGCAGGCCGCTTCTTGTACGGCGACATCGCCCTGCTCTCCGAAGACGATGATGAGAACGGAAGCGAGGGCTCGGGCTCCGACGAGCGCACCACCAACTCCACCAGCTCTGCTGCCTTCCGCCTGTCCTCCTCATCGCCATCTGCCTTTCACATCAAGGTGAACAGGAAGAGGAAGCTGTGCGGGGGAGGAGGGTGCGGAGGGGTAGATATAGGGGCCATGACGGGAAGGCTTGGCCCCCCGGAGTCTTCTCCTTCTGGGGAGGGTCGTCAGAGGACCGCAGCCAACGCACGGGAGCGAGATCGCACCAATTCTGTCAACACAGCATTCACAGCCCTGCGCACGCTCATCCCCACTGAGCCAGCAGACAGGTACAGAGCAACATGATTCAAATTGGGTCATGACATTTAGTCACAAATGAACAAATAGGTTCCTAAAAATATAATGGACTACATTTTTTAGTTATGAGTAGATATTTCCTATAACTGATGTGTCAAAGAGTTAGTGCCCAGGAAGTGGACAAGTTTTGATAGGGGTTAAATGCATGAACAATACATTCTCTAAAATTATTGTACAGTTTTTAAATGTTTTGATTGATACCATAAATCTCGCTCTGACTTGATGATTAGGAAGCTGTCGAAGATCGAGACGCTACGTTTGGCCAGCAGCTACATCAGTCACCTGGGGAACGTCTTGCTCCTGGGAGAGGGGCTTCATGACGGACAGCCGTGCCACACTCCCTCGCCACCGTTCTTCCACGTTAACTCCTCCCCCACTCGAGGATCTGACCAATCAGCTCAGCCAAAGCACATCTGTACTTTCTGCCTCAGCAACCAGAGGAAATTGGTGAGCAGACAGAAATTATAAATCGACAAGCAAGAAAGTCCAAGTCAACTGAAACAAAAATGCTTTACATAGTAAGTTCTCCAACAAAACAGTGTTATTAGCTATTTTACGCTAAAAGTACTTAAATAACTACTACTTTTCAAATATAACCAGAGCATTTAAAATTTCCAGAATTAAAAATATAATAAAAGTTGCATGTTTATATTTAGAAAAAAATGATCAAACTATAGAGTGAGGCTTCTTTGGGGAAACTGTGAAGTTTTAGGGTCAGTTTGGTGTTTAAAGCTGACCTGAGATCAGTGACTGTGCCTATAAACCTGATTGGCCCTGAGGGACATTAAAAGCTGAACCTCTTTAAAATCCTCTTTTAGGGTAAAGGACTGTGTATTATTGTTCTGTTGGGGGTTAGTTTTACTCAAGCAGGTGGCTCAGAAGTTCAAGGTGCTTTCTGAAACTCACTGGACGTTACAGTGAATAGAAGTGGTTGTTTTTGTGTCAGAGGAACTGAGAGAGGGCTGAGAAAAGTTATGGGTCAAACGGCACGTAGCCCTTTTTTTACCATAACACAGACAAGACGTGCACAACCGTTGCGTAAAAACCGTCTAACCCCAACTGTGGTGGTTTCTTCTTTCTTTTAAAAAAAATATATATTTGAAGTTTACAAGGGTATTTATGAAGCGAGTGAGATTTATGACCAGGAGCCCATGAAATCCATCCAAAACCATGTGTATAATTAAAAGAATGTATTGACGTCAGCCTGAATATGAGACGGTTTGAAGAACTGACCTGAGATACAAAGATTGGTGACTCTTATACACAACTTTTATACATTTAACTCACTCACACAAGTGTTAAAAACATTTTATTCACAGTTTATACAGAGCTTAACAACTCGGGAAAAACATACATTCAGAACAAAACAAACAAACAACAAATCTAAAATACATGACAAAAGCTAAAGTCAAATTTCTCTTTGTTTCGGTCGACACACCTTAATAGAGATACAGAAAAGGAGAACGTCATCCGGTGCGAAGTTCAACTCACATTTGATTGATTCAATACAGGAAACACAAATAATCAAGAACACTCTCAGCATGAGAAAGTCGTCAGTCCGATGAGAAATAACAGGGAATGAAGAAATCCTATCAGCTGACTGATACCAAATTTATGAGTCCAGCTCCGACTTCAACAAACACCACCAGCCTGTACAGAAGATGATAGAGGGGTGACGTCCACTCAACTTTTCTCCCTCTATCCTAGCCGTTGCCCATTTAGCAGGATTTATGGGTAAGGAGCTGACATCTGGCAGACTCCCCCGTTACCCCAGCAGTATGTGAAAGCTAATACCCTCCTCAGTGTCTAAACCCAGAGACCCTTTAGCTGGGGGATAACCGGAGTCTCAGCAGTGTGTGTCTCCCCCCTACCTCCTGCCTCCCCTCTGAACCTTTGTGAGTGAAAGCTTAGACGTCCTCTGTGTCTGAAACCCAGACACCCTCGGCTGGGAGATAACTAGCCATTCTGTCTCCTCTGTCGCCTTTGCTTTTTTGCTTGAGTGCTCCCACCATGAGTTCTTCATTTTTATTCTCCTTCCTCATTTACTCTCACACTCATCTCATTCTGTTTCACTTTTTCCTCTTCAGACCTTTCCCCTAAGCTTCCCTCATACCCCCCAGCTCTCTGCATATCGATCAGCTTGGTGGAGGTCAGAGCTGTCAGTAGGAGCTGTGTAATACTATCTGCTGCTGTCAACTCTTTGCTGCAGACACATGACTGACCTGTAAATGCATGCTGGGTAGAAAACAATTTTAAAACTTTCTCATGTCAAACCCTTCAAATGTGGACACTTTGACTAAGCCTCTCCTAATTGATGTCAGTCACATTCTGCTGTTTCCCATTAGCTCCATAACAGTTCACACTCTGTTGTGTATGATGTATGCTGAACTTTACTGTTTTCATCTGATTAGGTGTACCCAGCTGAAAGCGATTATCTCTAAATTATCCCTTGATTGATTTCCATATTGACGGGATCTCTACACTCTACACCAATCACACATGAGGAAAAAGAAGATGAGCTAGGGAAAGATTTTAAAGTTTTAACTTAGATGTGGTTTGCACAAAAGAAGGATAAAGTCCTCATAAAGAAGATGTCCCATATGTACTTCTTTCAAATTCTGTATCACACAAAACAATCCTCCCTTCTAGGTTCCAGTTAAAGTAAAAGTCAAATTGTTAACAGCTTACAAATATGTAGTTTCATTTTGAAATGGCTCAATAAATTGCTAAACAGCTGGGCACTGTAGTTTTTAGCTAAACAGGAGCAGTATAAGGATTAATACACATTTGCCCATGTACAATGGCATTGAAGAAACATGTCGCCCAGTACAACGGTGTTGTATCAGGTTTTCAATATACAGGTAATATTTGTTAGTGGAATCATATGTGTATATATCAGGGATACCTCAGGCTCACCTGGCGTAAACGTGGTTAACCCTGATTGGCAGAACCTGAGAGAATTTCATTTTCCCCGGAAAAGTGGCTATACAGTGCGTATAAGTGGGCTAAAGGGCAGAGTTAGTGCTGGTGATTACAGAGAGGAAACAATTGTGAAGGTAAAATGATACTTGTGTCCCGAGTGCTCTCTTTGTATGTTTTTATGGTCATTGAGGTTCATCACAGCTGTCAGGTCTGCTGAGAGCGGCCACTTCAATTACGCTTATTTCCAATGTGGGAGAGGGTGAAAGTGAGAAAAGTATACGCTCATTTCCTCTTATTATGTGTGTATACAGTATAACTGTTTCAAAACAAACAGTCTTGTTAGTAATGACTACTGCACAGAGAGGGCTAAACTGTTACATATTCAGTGGAATACTGATGTGATTTCATTATCCATGTGACTTTATGCACTCGATTCAGAAAGATTTAAGATGAATTTTATACAGGTGAAGGATGATTTATTCTTTATAACTTCTTGTTATGGTGGGGTGATTTCCCAGAAAGTGACAGTGAGATTGAAATTGATTAAAAAACGATTCTCATTGCTGTCCTGTGAAAACCGTGTATCTGTTGTCAGCTTTGTGACGATGCATTTTTCAGCTAATGAAATGGCTTTTTAATGGTTTATTTATCTTTCAGAAGTTGGGGAAAAACATTCAGCCCACATACGAATAAACAAAAATTAAAAACTAACATTTTGAGTTATGTGGTTTGCTTTGGACAGCAACACTTTGTTTTACTTGAGGAGAATGTGTGAGCCTGAAATTGTTGTTTTTCTTTCCTAGTGAGAGCTTATTGAATAGCTCTGTTGCTCAGATTCGTAGTGCAAATCTGTTCTTCTGCAATACTTCTAGATATTCTTTCCCCACTCAAGTTGTCAGGTACAGAGCCACATACTGTGGGTCATTTCTACTCAGCATCTTTTGATCAGAAGCCAAGATATTTCCTGTCAACATACATTACTGACAAATTTTGACTTTTAAAAAATCTGTTCTGAGGTGAAGCACCAGCAGTTTGGCATGGACAAAAACCGGAGCGCAACTGATGTCTTTGATACATTCAGCAAAAAAAATGGGACGCTCTTGATAGCTACATCTGTGAATGAGATGTACAGGGCTGAGGATAGAGGATTGAGGTGAGCAAAGGGCTGCTTAAATCCCTGCGCTGTCTGGTTGATTGATGCAGATATCCTGTGCTAGGCCTCTGTGCTTCTGCTGATCAGTGAAACTGTCAGGTGCCTGGACTCAACCTACAGCACGGTCGCAGCTTTTTTAATCACTGTGGTGTTAATATCTCCAGTAATATCTCCAGTGTCACACCAGGTGAGCATCTGCAAAAAAAATATTTTCTTTGTGCTATAGGTGAAGGCAAACAGAAAACGTTTTAAAAATGTGCTAATCTGTTTACTTCGTTGTCTTTAAGGTTTTAGCGCTTGAAGGATTTTTACAGCTTCCTCCGCAACTGTGGCTTATTTCTTTTGGCCCGAAACAGGGAGCGGGTCAATTCAATTCAATGGCAAACGTAAACAGAAATGGCGATTCATATGCCAGTAACAACAATCATGCTCAGCTTTTTCCTTTTATGCTGGATATGACGAGGTCAAACATTTTCCAATATTTAAAATTTAAAGAAGATCAATTGACGAATTAAAATACAATTTATATGTTTGGAAACAAAATAAAAATCTGGTGAAAATATCAATACTATAATACTTATGGTGTGGTTGCTGTAAACAGACCATTGTTCCTTTGTGATGGTGAAAGAGTTTACAAGCGTTTTAAGGCGCAACTCTGATTTAATTCCAACTTGAAGGAATCTCATTTATTTGGAATTTCTTTGGAATTAAAAAGAAGTGTTTAAATTTTGTGTAACAACAAACATAACAAATGATGTATACGGCTCCCAATATCACACACAGTACTAATTTACATCTGGGCTGCTGTAAAACTTTTATTTGTGATGATTTTTGTGGGTGGCTGGAAAGCAGGGCGTATGGAAAGACAGTGGCACTAAATCTGCACCATGCAATTGGAAACCAACTTATCTGTGCTTGTGTGTGAGAGAGTAAACGTGAAAGAGCATGTTTGTGTGTGAGAGAGAGATAAAGACCGGGTGTGATAAAGAGCTATGTGTGTTTGTTACTCTAAGATGGATGTGAATGACAGACAATACGTCCATATATCCAAATATACAGCACACACACACACCTATACACACACACACACCTACACACACACATTGGCTGGCTCTCTGTGTCTGGAAGTCATTGGCAGTGCAGAGCAGAGCAACAAATGAGCTAATTGTTCTGTAAATGATTTATCCTCTGCTGAGGCCTGTACAGCCAGTGTTTAATTCAGCTGCTGCTATTAGAAACACATTGACGTTGGGCTTTGATGGTGATGTTTAAGAAGCCTGGAAACCGCTCTCTGCAAAACGCCCTTGCCGCTTACACACACACACACACACACCCGCGCCCACACGTATGACACATACACGCACACACATGCAGGCATTCACTCGCACACACGACACAGGCGTACAGTGCACCACACTCAGAGACTTTATCAAAAGCATTCAATTCTGCTTCTGCCTTTATTTTTTTTCAAGTCTTTTCAGCGGGCCGGCAGTTCATTGCTTCTTTCTCGACACCAAAAAAAAAAAAACCTCACATATATGATTACTCAGTTAAGGAGCCCTGGATCACGACTGTGCTTTCAACACTTTCTAAACTAATGGTGTGCAGGAAGTGTGGAAACAGAGAAGGAGAAAGAGAGTAAGAGAGGCAGAGAAATAGCCAACGACTCAGTGGGATAATCAACTTAGCTATTTATCCTCCGGTTTGGACAGTTGGTTTTCGACTGCGCCGAAACTACACTTTGCTTCTTTATAGAGATCAAATGAAGCGTGCACCTTAAGAGGGCTTAAATGCATGGATAGGACGGGTGTAAGAGCAGACTAATGACTGCGGTTTTTACAGTCATCTGGTTATTAGTCTGTTTTCACTGGAAAAAAAGCATTACATCACTTGTGTGCATGAGGTAGACGTTTCAAGGCCATAGATGAAAACTAAATTACCCTCATTTACTGATAATGCTGGTGTCAACTTGGAGTTAATGTTTTGTGTCTCACGAGCGAGAGCTTTGCCTGTTTGCTTCTCATTTCAAGCTATGCTAATGAGGTGCATTGAAGGTAGCTAATATACTGCAGGCAATTTTCAAATATATTCTTGCTCACGTTCAGTGTGTGTCTGTGTGTGAGCATGGCTGTATGTATGACGTGTGTCTTCATGCATGGACGTGTCTTTATATTTTCAGCACAGATGGAAGCAGTTAAACCCTAATCTAACACCAACAAAAGAAGTCGGGTCAGATGACTAACAAAATCTATTAGCAAAACTATCATTCTGTTGTCATTTGGTCTTCAGGGAAAGGGTTGCTCACGTAGCAAATTAAAACCAAACTACACAAAACTGAGCCAGGCAAAGAACAAATCTTCAAAAGATCCAGGACCCAGAGAAAAGCAGACATTGGGCCATTTAAATTGTGCATTTTCTTAAAACAGTGTCTACTGAAGCTAATGGCATATTGGCTGTTGTTGGGTGCACATCTTAGCGCTGATGATGAAGTGCTGGTTGATGATTAATGTAGCAGAATTAAGTCATCTGAGACTCGTGAAAATTAAGTCGGCCTTGTTCTGGAGTCATTATAACAGATTATTAAAATGTGGGAATAATTAAATGCATGTGTGGCCGGCTGGTGCGAATTACATCTGATTAGGCAATCTACAGTAGGATAAATCAAGTGTTTTTCAGAAGCCATCAAGATTCTTGTTAGCAAACCACAGTGAACACAGAGTACATGTCTGATGTATCCAAGCCACATAATGGCAAACTGTGGCTTATTCGGTGTTAGTTAGCTTAATTTAAGAGTCTGATGCGTTATTCATTGCACTATTTCAACGCAAGTCTGTGATCCTCTAATAGATGACCATTTATGAGGGTAATTACTGCTTCTGTTAGACACATGAGGGAACTGACGCATATTCACATATTTTCACTCGATAAACTAAAGGAATATTACCAGTTTTCATTTCATGGTTGAATACCAATCTCCTTATACGATTGTCGGGCCAGTGCCCAGGTGGAATTATTTTTTCCAACCAGTCATTCCTCTCTTCATGCAGCCAGAAACTAAATTAGATGTTTGTATTTGACAGAACGTCTTAACACAGGAAAAGAGAGAGAGTGAGAGAGTGCACGGAAAATCCACAGTTATAGGTAAAGTACCGGCTCTTATTGAGTTTCGGAAAAACTATTTTAAAGTTTGAATTTGTAGAGTTGATAAGATGCCGTGAAGAGAGTGTTTACTATCTTCACATTGAAGTTAAAACCGGCTCCTTTCACCTTGATTAAACAATAATATTGTTCCACCGTAGTAATATCATCACATTGCATCTAAAAGTAAACATCATCAGGTAATCATATTAGCGTTGGACAAATCACCCCCCTGGGAAGTCAGTGGTATGTCTTTGTGTGTGTGTGGGTGTTTGGAGAAAGAAAGAGAGAGAGAGAGAGAGGGAGAGAGGGCAGATATGCCATCTGATCATGCCCTATTAGTCTTCAGGAGATTGTTTTGACTACCAGGCCAGCCTTAAAGCCCCGCTCCTCCTGTTTTGACTGAACCAGTTAGACTTCAGCTGAACCGCCTTCGCCAGCTACAGCTGTGCTTCCTAAACCAGCGCTGAACACTCACAGTGAGACGTGGGCTGATTCCTGGTGATTTCACAGTCATTTAATGTAATTTAGTAAATCATCCAATTGTCACGCACGGTTTTTGAGTGATACTTCTCGTGGACCCACTTCCTCTTTATTTCCACTGAGAAATACAGACAATTTTTCCACAGTGTCTTCCAAGAAACACCAGAGCGCATCGCTGCACTTGTCTCATCCAGCTGTTGGTATTATAGTTTGTGTTGTGTCTGTGAGGAGTATATATGAGTCAGATGGCAAAATTGAAAAACATATTAAGGAAACTACCCTTCTCTAAGTTGACCTTTCCTTTCCTCTACTGTGATTGGTGGTTTGAAGCTCTTGTGTTGTCTTGTGGTATAAATTGAGTATGCTATATGCAATCCAGTCCCCTACAAATTACACTTACATGCTACTTGTTTATTTTGTCAATTCTTAATAACAAACATACAGTAATTGCTGCCTGGATTATGTTCCCTGGTAATGTTTCTTCCGGTGAAGAAAGAGCAACAGTTTTGTGCATGTAGGAATTCAAAAGCGAGGGTGGAAGGACGGGTGTCCTGGACCTCAGAGACCGGGGGTTTGCATCCTGAGTCCTACGCTTGGTAAAGTACAGGCCACAAAGCACATTTGTTAATGTTAGGAAAGGATTTTGGTTTTGATTAAATGTTATTGGAGTAAACATGTTTTATCTTGTGCCTTAAGTCACTTTTGGCTTTTTTCAGTATTTAACCACCATCTTTCTGGAACTTTGTGGAATGTGACGATAAAAAAGATGAATCATGCTTCATTTGCTATGAGCAGATATTGTAGGAAAACTAATGAACTACATTGTCACTGAACGCTCTGTATCAGAGGCAGATATGTTGATACACAATTTAAATCCCCAGCATCATATTTCTCTTAAACTTCATTTGCTATTGCATTAATATTTAATGAATGTAATTTCTAGGAGACAGGCTCCCACTTGACATTTGTACAACACTAGTGTAAACACACTATAGTGGACAACATTAATTAATTATTACTAGTAGTAGTGAACTACTACGGTTGAAAAATGTTGACTTTTAGAGTGTAGATAAACATCTAATGACCTACACTACACTACCAATATCTAACATTCAACTTTAGATGTTGTTGTTTCTGCCACAGTCACGGTGCTAGACATATTTAAACCAAGGGCCACATCTCATCTACATTTGGCACCCAGGAAAAAAACACACCACTAAACAACGAAAATGGAACAAGAAATGAGATCTTCCTAACAAGAAGGTGGTTATAAACACTGCTAAAAGACGTCTACCTGCACACGCAGCCAACAACATAATGGTAATGGTTCATGTCTAGATAATAGCAATCTAATAATGATCCTTTGCTCTCAGTCCAGCTGGAAGATGTATTGACAATAATAGCTCCTGTGTCTCCTCACACTCGCCTCAATCAGCCGGAGGACCGATTCCTGTCCAGATCCTATGATCTCACTCTCTAATTACCGCCTGATACCCTTCCAAACACCTACCCACCTTTGTTGATGTCAGTCAAATGGATTTTTCCAAACACCTACACCTTGTGCACAGTCTGAGAGGAAATGTGTAACAGGTGTTCGGCTGATGAGAGGAAGGCGGGGGGGCAGAGGGTTAGCTGAGACGATATGAGAAGGTGAAAGAAAAGTCAGGAGAGGACAGGAGTGCAGATGAGTTGACCTACACTCTGGTGAGATTTTCACCCAGTGCTTTTGTGTACCTTTATTACCATTAAGTTTGCCTGTTTTCACTTGCATAAACAATATAAAGATGTTTTTTTTTATATATTTGTTGACCACAAATTAGGTTATAACAGCCTAAGATCGTTCACCAGCTATGAGTTAATCAAACATCAGCCCTGAAAAGAAATGAGAGAGGCAGGGATGACGTTTGTTGCATATCACTCAGTGTTGTGTTCGATAAAGTCCCTTGACTGTAGCTTGGAAAGCAAGCGGTGGATGGCCTGAGAAGTAAGCAGAGCAGAGGTTAGGTGAGGAGGGAAAATGTGATGTTATTTTCCTGGCCAGATAGAGAAAGTCTCCTCACCAGCCAGGAAATCAAGGCTTCTCTTTTCTGATACCACAGATAAATGAGAAGCACATCATCATGCCGGGCTGTCACACACCAGCTCATGAGGTCACTCTTCAGGCCGTAATAAAATGAGCTACCCCTACCACGAGTAATGTACAGTGTGGCATGCTAGTGTACAGAATGTGTTTGTGTGAGTTTACTGCATGCAGTCAAGGGTAATCAAATTTTTCCACCCTGGTAAAATACATACAGTACGAAACCAAATTCATGACTGTGCCAGTGATTGCAGTAAAACAGTATCTGTTTCCACAATATGAACTATATTTTCCTGGACTGTCATGACACTATAATGAAGGGCTGATCATCGACAGTCCTGCTCACCTGTTAAGCATATTTGAAAATTTGAGTAAAGGGTGGAAAATTGTCCCCTACCTGTACTCCCTGACAAAAACTTTGAAATACATTTGTAATGCAAATTGAACTGACCTTCTGTTCTTTGACTTTTCCGCTAGCTTTTCCAACTTGTCCCTAGTTGCGATGCTAAGCTAAGCTGTGCTAAGCCTTTAAAATCATTCCAGTGTTGAATCCTCGATGATGTGAGATGTTGTTTCTCTCTCTCTCTCTCTCGCAGAACAAAGACAGAGACAGGAAGACGGCCATCAGAAGTTAACAGAGAGGATACAAGCCACACGGATAAAATGCGTGTCACTTTGACAGCGCCTTCAGTGAATTACTGCAACTTGAAGACTTGTGATGCATTTCAGAGACTTTTGAAGGACTTCTTTAGCGCTTCCAGGACTTTTCAAGGAACTTTGCTAAGCATTTCCTCTACTTTTTTTTTTAAAACTTTTTATATCACTTTACAAGAACCTTTTTACTTTTTAGGATGTTTTCAAATATGTTTGAAACACTTCTGAAAAGTTTAGCAGTACTTTCAAAGGGCTTTCACATGCTTATCAAGACCATGAAGAACCTTTCTACAACACAAAAAGAGACTTTTTACAGCATTGTTCAAAGACTCTGTGACTTTCCGATCAGAGTCTGAGGAACTTATGGCACATGATCGGAAAACAACACACAGAACCTATGACAGACAAATTTGTATTCATCAAAGCTGTGTGTTATTAATGTGTAAACTGAAATATAAATGTATATTTATGTGATATAACATTATATAATGAAACTATGTTATTTAACCGGCATTGACAATCATGGCAAATAATGAAAGGTATAAAGGTGCAAAACATTGGCTATTGACACAATTTATGCTGGAACTTTTGTGGTACTGGTTATTTCTAATAATCATTTCTGTGTCTTAATGCTGGAAAATAACTCAAGGTGACCAATAAATGTTTTGTATATCTAGGAGTAAATGCAATTTAGATGTTGATATTTTGAGTCTATACTCTCAAATCCTCCCAAGGTCCAACCAATAAACATTATCAAAGTTTCCACTGTGAAACTGTCCTGCGCTGTAGAGATATTTTAATATCAAATGGTGGTTTTATCATACTTTTGGTCATTCAGGCAGCTACGGTGAGATAATTTTGGAAGTTTCCATTAAAGTCTTTCATGAAGGTAGCAGTACAGCGAGCATAAGTGCAAGTTCCACAGTGGCTACACCTGTAGCTTACATCAGCCTAAATCCTAGTTTTACCTCTCTCTCTATCTCACTGCCTCTCTCTTGATTTCTTTCTTCTCCTCTGGGGCACCAAGATCAGAGCAGACAGAGACAGAGAGGGGTTGAAGATGAGGCGGACAAGAGGGGTTTGAGGAGCAGAGGAAAGGCAAGCGGAAGAGAGAGGAAGGAGAAAAAAAGAGAGAGAGAGAGAGAGCAGAATTGAATCTGCAGGTATGGCTGCTTGGACATCTGCCTGTGTCCCCTCGCTGTCCTCTTCTTTACCTTTCCACATGCTCTTTTTCTCTTCTCCTCCTCTGCTCTTCCTCTCTTTTCCCAGGAGTGCCACTGGCCAGAGTCTGGTTGGTGATGGCTTTCCAGTGTGTTTAGCCACACACTATTTATCCTCTCCTTACTCTATCTATCTATCTATCTATCTATCTACTTCCTTCTCCCTTTTTCTTGTCTTCTTCCCGTTTTCTGGATAGCCTTTCCACTGTCTCAATCCCTTGCTCTCTCTGTCCCACTCTTTCTACTCTGTTTTTCTGTCCTCTGCCTTTATGGAAAATTATCAGGGCATTAGCGATGTGGAATGTTGCCTTTCCTTTTTTAAATTTGTCACATTTTTCATTGCTTCTCTCTCCGTCTGCCTCCCATACCCTTCTCTCAGTCAGCTGTTATATTACCATCTATGAGGCCAACTTGCCCTGTTTTCTAAAGTTCATAATCACTCGTCTAAGGAGAGCAAAGTAGTTGAAGCATTGTTCCTATGTCCTTCTGGTTCTGCAGCAAAACTTACAAATCCATTTTCAGAAAAAGCCAAAGTTGTGGCTACCTGAAAATGGCTGATTTGAGAGAGATGCTGGTAATTTTCTAGGAATTATTTTCATAGTAATACTTGTTTTTATTACAAAAAATGCTTTAGAGAGTTAGAATCTATTAATACAGTATACACCCAGCCTTTGGTATCTGAGCTCAGCATTATAAAACCACATAACAGCAGTATTTGTCAAGCCATTTTCCACCATTAGGCGAAATGTAAATGAGCCGTTCTTTTAATGGAGGCTAACCCCTGTGCTGCACCGGCTTGGTGTTTCCAAATTATTTTTTTAACAATGCTAACAAGCTGTTTCTGCAACTGAGGTGCCAATTATGGAATTTTTCCTACAATGTGACAAGTGCTCGGTGAAGAAAAACAACCAACAAAAATTCAAACGTCACTTGATGGCACTGCCAACACACAGTTTTTAGTGGAAGCTGCCATGAAAGACAAAGCTGATTTATTGTGTGCGTAATCTCCCAAACACCCCAAAACTATTAACAGTGCTGAACACTTGCAGTCGGTTTTAGAGTTAATGTGTCTGACTTTCCCTCAGAGTGATGTCATGTTACGGACACTCACTTTAATGAAATAACTCACAAAGGTGATGAAGGGGGAAAAAGGTGTAGATTTAAATTTGGGACTAGTTTCACCGTTGATAGCATGCTTTATGAACTCTGGCAAAAAGCAGGAATGGCAGCAAAATAACGAGCTATAGATAGTTGCGAAATCCTTCCTGGTGAATCGCTTATACCAAAGACAAAATTCAGCTCTGGCATATTTTGCTTGAAATGCCCTTTAAATGCAAGTGCCAGAGCAGGTTTTTCCTCCCCAAACGTAACACAGGCAAACAAAGACTAAATCCCAGGGCACAGTTTCAGTGTAAGTGGTCCCTGCTGCTCGCTGGTTCCTGAGACAAAGGTTTGAAAAGCGCCATGCGTCTTGTTTAAAAGATCTTAGTTCTGTTATGAGCCGATGAGACGTAGATAATCTTACTGCAGAGGATTTTTTAAAAGGAAGCAATAGCTTTGAAAAAAAGCGCTGTGTGTCTAGTGTGTCCTAATGACTTCTGGTCCAGTTAGTCTGAGAGTCTGATCTCTCTAGCAGGCCGTCTGTCTGCGCAGCAGAGAGTGGGGGGAAAAAGGAACTGGTTCCTCCCACACAGACCAGATCAGGTTCCCCCCAACGCCTACACACACAATTTAGCACACACACAGATGACCATTTACATACTCATACGCCAATGAACTTACATATGCACAAATAGATGGACATATGCTTGCGTGTGCAGTCGCACACTTGCATGCGTGCACGCACGCTAAGCAGAAAGATCTGTGATATAGCTTAGTTGTCTAATGATCTCTGTATTTTACATTGATGAAAACAGATCAGCTGAGAGGGCAGACTGCTGCGGTGTATTTAAGTGGGCGGTTTTGGACCAAGGTGAACCGGAGGTTGGATGATCGACTGGCTCTGATTATCAATATAATGGTCTCTGACGAAGATGCCCCCATGGAAATCTGGCATGTGAATACTGATAGCTGAAGTAATAAAAAGCAGCCTTTATCCTGGCATTCGCAGAGTTGGTGGTAGCAGTGCCAGAGGGGCTGGCGGGTGTAGTCTGAAGACGATTCTGATCAATATAACATATTTGGAATATAACAGAAAACTGGCAGAAGGTAGTGAAGGCCTAAATATGGAAAACATATGCATCTATTTTAATCACTAATAAAAGAAAAACATATCACATAAAGGCTTCATGCTCTCTAGTGAGCTCAACAATAGCAATAATTATCCAGTCAACTGATTTTCCTGTTGCACATGTGAAACTTAGTAGTAGGACTTTGACTCATACCTAAGGTAATTAAAGTTATTGTAAGCTGCTGGCAGAGTCAAGCGTCTTGTCACAAAAACTTGCTCATCAAATTTATCAGCACGTAATACAAAATACTGGTATGAGAAAATGTTTTTAATTAAAACATTGTAAACATGTAATTTGAAATTCTATACAAACTTGTCACATTTTAGGGATTAAGTGGTGTCAATATGAATATATTAAAGGTAGAATGTGTAAGATATGGCCAGATATTTTGTTTAAAACATTAAAAAGACTAAATAAATATATAAAATAAGTAACAGCTCTGTTAAATCAAAGGTTTCTATGTATTGTGTTGCAGAGTTATCTTCTGAAGTTAGCATGCTATCCAGCTAGCCCCAGCCCGAACTGTCACGTAATACCACTTTTTTTATCCACATTTTATTACAAACTACATCTTATTTTTTTCTGCCCAGCAAAATACTAATTACAAAATACTCAAAAATAATTAAATACATGTACATTTTAATAAGTAGTTTATCATTTTGATGGCATATTGAGTGTTGTTTCAGCACCTCGTTTCTTTGCTAACATTAGCTGCTAGTCGCATGCATGCTTCAAAAGACACATTTGTGAGGTAATGGACAATTAAAATTTGTTGCTTGTCTTCAAAGCAATATATTAATTGATGTATTGGCCACTACTGACTAATTCAAATGAAATTTGTTTTTAGTAATCACCATAGTTTTTACAAATAAGTATTAATTTGTTAGTGTCTAGACAGGCTCTTGGACTTAACTCTCAAAAGCATAAACAATTCATTTCAACATTTTTCATAATGTCATAACATGAGAATCAGTGGAGGAGACAGGAGCACTTCCTGTTTTTTTTCCAACTCATCCATGTTTTTGCGCTCAGATGGTACCCAGCTGAATAAGGTCTATTAATTAAAGATGGATAGGCAGCAGTGCTTTTCCTGAAGCATGACCTCCTGTTGACATTGGAGCAGAGGTTTCCTCTGGTGTCCTCTCCTGCTCTGTAGGCCTGTTGGCCAACTTCCTGCCTCCACTCGAACTGTCTCAATAAAACATAAAGAACAAAGATATAAAAATGTGGAGGAAAGAGCGAAATGCACCTTTAGGAACATTAGTCTTTCTAACCCAATAGGGACATGAGCTACGCAAACACACACACACACACACGCGCGCGCTCGCAGTCACACGGCAGGAGGCTAACTGCTCCAAGTGGGAGCTGTGCTGCTGAAGGCCGGATGAAAGGAAACACTAAAACTACAACGAGGGAAAGACAGGTGGCCAGTTTGGCAGCTCCACACACTCATGCACACACTCTGACACACACCAACACACACACACACACACATACACACGTACACAAACTCCTTCCTCCTCAAACCCCCTGTTGTGCACACCTGTGAAAGTGCCAAATCCTGGAAGTTGAGCTTTCCAGCTTTCTTCCTACCTCCTCTCTCTTTCTGTCCCTCGCTTCTCTCCCCCACGATGAATCTTTCTCCCCCTTTCTCTCTTTCAGAAAGCTCCTCTGTGTAAACATTCCTCTTGTAAGTTAGCAGCCTGGCTCACCTTTAATTGGTTGTTAAAAAGACATTTCCTGCTCATGAGGATACCACCATGGAAGCTTCTGTGATTGTACATGTGTGTGTTTTTCCCGGACAAGTACATACAATATAAGGCCCACATGTGTGTTCATGTGCGTGTTTATTCCTGTGAAATCACGAAGTGCTCATCGCTCATGTAATCACCAATTATATTCAGTCACCTGATATCACATGATCACGAAAATACAACAGCAGGGAAGTGGATTAAAGCAGAAGAGGCACTGTTAACATTAGAAAACAATGAGTAGAAACACTCCTGTGGCTCAGCAAAACACCAGAATTTCTCATCATCTGAAATGCTGTAAGTCTTGCATAATTTTTTGTCTCCAGAACACATCTTGAATTCAAAAGGAAAGTTATTTATCCTTGTCAGGCATCCTTTCATGCAGTGAAACTTGTGGTTGTGGTTGATCTGGCCAGGTAACGAAAGCTGATGTTCAGTCTAGAGACAGCGATTGTTTCCCTGTTGTGCTCTTCCATTGTTAGTCCTCTGGTTTTCCCCATTTTTTAAAGTAGAATTCTCGCTGGTTGCTTACAGCGACTGTCTAGACTCAGTATTAATGT